CCGGTCATAATCCACGCACTACGTGTTGTCACTCATCTGCGACTCCACGCTTTACACTATAGACAAGAGACCTCGCCGATATGAACCTTGTTAGGCGCAATATTAACGTCAGCGACCCAAGAAAAATGATCAAATCCAACAACAGACATAATACACATAATAAAAAACGAAAACAACACCAACAATAAGCAATATCATCAGCGGCATTGAAAACAGCTTGCGAACCAATCGAGTCTTAGGTGGAGTCAGCCACAACCGGTTACATACCCACCTATCCCAGGAGGGAAGTGTGTGTGAGAGGTAACCTCCAGGATCGATCATGAATAATAAAAGGGATTTGTCGGCAGTGGGTGCAAATCCCGACAATTCTACCAATCTAAACTAGCTGGAACGTCTCGTTTCAGATTTTGCCGCTGCCGAGTCCGAATATCACTCATCGATTGTCCCGACTGGCACGGAGATGAGCCCGCCTACGGAGTATAAGTTTACATGCTATATACGGAATACTGCCATGTACATCACATATATAGGCTGGTAGGTATGGTAGGTGATGTAAAGTCTGTAGATCGTTCTATCATGTCAAAATAGATTAACATTACGTATGTTGCACATAGATAGTGTGAATCTCGAGTCATTTCCGCCCCTCGACCCCACAATCCCCGTTCGCGTCTATCCCGTCTGATGCAAAGTGAGAGGCTAGCACAAGCCCACTGCGTATGTATGCCTAATTCTCAGAGGTATATAAAAAGGCTACAGCTGGAATGATTCCCATTCGACGAGTTCTCTAGGCAACCAATCACGTTATTACAGATACGATGATATATCCATGCCGCCATGTGCCGGGATTGCTTTCTACACCCCACTGAGCCAAGCGAAATATCGAAAGATCCCATGACCCAACATGAATACCGGGACACCATTGCTTGGAGACGAATGCCGAGTCGTTAGCCTTTAGACACCGACGATCTGCTCCCTTTTCGCGAGTTGGTCCGGCGAGAGTGGAGTTCGGCTTCGGTTCCATGCAGGGTATTTGTGTGGGTATATCATGTGCTTTGTGTGTTAGCGGCTACCAGAATGGCCTGCAGATGACCCGTTTAGAGATTATGTTACCTCTTCTTTGGTAAACCTCGATAAGTCAGAGTAGGGCTGTACTGTGGGCTGTACTACAGGTCGCAAAGCTAACTACATGGTGTACTACCTTCTACCCCGTAAGTTGCATAGATACCCCTATGCTGTAGATCGTTATAGATAGGTAGGTATATAGTAATGAGAATGGTCTGCCATTTATGCGGTCTATGTCCTTAACAAAGTAGTCCAGTTACCCGATATATTTGGGTGCCCTCTTATATACTTTTTCCCTTCAATATATATTCTCCTCAATGTCATAGTTATCTACAGATAGAAGGTTAATAGTGAGCTACAAGTGCAGCCAGAGGGAAGAATAGTACGGAGTAGACATGCAGTTGAAGTATAAAATATCCAGATATTTTCCATTTTTCCATGTATAACCAGGAATTAATAACAACATTAGAACAAACAAACCAGTAGCAGTACATAAACATGATATAATAGACAATAGACGAGATTCCCACCTTGGATATCATAAAATAAGAGCACAAATCAAATGAAATATCCTAACCTGCATGCAAAACAACCTTCCGCCCAGTCCCGAGCCCTTAGAAGCGCACCTCAGGTCGAATAGCAAGCCTCTTCTGCACAAATGGTGGAGGAAGAAGGAGTATACCTCGGACAAGGCTTGCGCGAGACCTTCCCTTTCGAGGAAAAAGGCAAACTCGGTAGATCGCCAAGGTGTAAACTTAGAATCGATGAGGCTCTTTTCCGATCAAAGATTTGACTTTTGCGTCTCCCTGATTTAGAGCCTAGTGTCGAGGCCGACGGAGTTGATGTATGGCCTGGCGAATGTTGTGGCAAGCAGGAGATTGTTATCAGGCTGGAAAGATGGTAGAACGATTCTTCTTCTTCTTCTGGTTCTTCTATTTCAGGTCTGGGTGCTGCTGATTGGGGCTCTGATATGGGGACAGCAACCGATAATGGGGCGCTGTTGCTTGATGTGTTGCTCAAGGTAGCTGCAAGCGCGGCTAATTGATTGACGATCTGGTCTATTTCGTCGTGTTGTGGTGCGGTGCTCATGATTATCTCAGGTAGATGTGGCTCTTTCTCTTGGAACTTGAGTTCTTGGGATGTAGTCGACGAAGTGGAAGATTTCTCCGTGTCTGATCTTCGTCGTCGGATCCATAGCTTTCGTAGAAGAAGAAGGAGAAACATTGCAATGATTGAAGCAATGCACACTAAAGAAGGAAAGTCAGCTTGTCTAGTATCTAGGTATGCCGTAGAGGAGTACGCACAGCAATGAAGGTAATGAATTTATCCGAGTTATCCAAAAGCGTCGTCCTAAAATCCTTAGCTGGAGATCCAATGTTCATCAAATCTAGGGGCCCCTTCCAAATCCCAGATATATATGTCCCCGATCAACGCACGAGCCTTGATACAATCATTCTCAACGAGCAACAATCCGACCAGCCCGTGAAATATTGAAACCAGACTAGGTCTGAAACACCACCCAGAGTCGGGGATGATTAGATATTTCCCGGAAAACTAGGCCGTTAGAACTTCGGCATATTAACATGAAGATGACTGGATAAGCTTAAAATGTGGATACAGAGACTACTACCCATCTCGTCTAGGTGCAGCAATATAAACAGATCAACATGCAAGCATCCTAGCGTACGGAAATATCCAACTGAATGGTAGATAGATCATTCCCCGTGTTGGATGATTGCAAACGGATGGATTAGTGTCGGTGCGTATTCCGCAGATTACCATGGCGCCGCATTTCGCAAATGTTAGACTTGATTAGATTCGAGCTATCTTTCCCCGTTTGTGGATTGGGAGATGGGTGGATCGGATCGTTGGGGCTGGTTTACAACCGGGCCGGAGTCCAGACTACTAGGAAAAATTTAGTTGCTAGATATACGAAACCCTTAGATTAAAGGATATCTGTTCATATTCCTTGGAGTGTCATTGCGGACTGATCCATGACGTACTCCCAATTTTGTCATGAGCTAAAATCATAATATGACCTAGCATCCAAGCCAAGTCATTGAAGCAAAAGCAAAAGCAAAAACAATAGAATCACTCCGTCCTCGGATCCCGGACCATGCAGTACAACTACCAACAATCAAAGTCAGCAACAGCCCAAACGAATCTCAGCCCCACGACCAAACACAACAAAACAAGTACAATGTACATACCATGCAAGCATCCGCTCCATCCCGACACTCCATCTCCTTACTCATGTGAAAGCCCATACGCTCATAGATCACCACATTAGGCACACTCTTCGAGCTCTCAAGATAACACTTGACCCCCTCATCATCCGCCCTTTTTGTAACGGCCTCAAACAATAACCTCCCAACGCCCATCCCCTGCGCCTCGGGGCTAACAGCAACAATATTGCAGAAATAGTACCCGCGCGGATCATCCCAGATAGCAGCCTGCGCCTCGGCCTGCCGCTGTTTCCAGATCCAGTACCTGTTTGTGCGCAACCCGCCGCGACCAAAGTATCGGAGGTTGTTGAGCATTTGCCTGAAGGATAGGGCCCATGATTGGAACCAGGAGTACCAACTCTCTGGCTGATTGGATGGGTGGGGCGGTAGCCAGCAGGAGACGCCGAGGATTGGGGTTGGCGTTATTGAGGCGCTGTGGGATTTAGAGTCGGGGTCCTGGGTTTCTTTTGCGACGTGGAATAGTGCATTCTTGATTCCCCAGTGGCAGCGTGCTGCGAGGGAATCGTAGTTCCTTTGCTTGTTAAACTATACGTGAAGTTATCTCTCACTAGACGTAACTATCGGTCAAGTTGACCGCGCCATGAGAGATATGTATGTTAGCCTGGTGATTAAGGGTAGATGGGTATCTCGTTTTCTTTTTTTTAGTAGCTGTTTCCCAACATGGAACGTACCTTGGATGAATCGAAGACCCACTTGAAATAAGGATCATCTGCAAATGCCCGTTGAATTACTTCAATGGCACCGGGGATGTCTGCCTCGGTAAGAGGTACGACCTCAACAGCCATGACTACTGTTTGTGGAGTCTGTACGGCGGGTAAATTTCCAGATGGATGGATCGGATGTCACCGCGGGAAGCCGCCGTACGCCCCGCTATGGCGGAGAATTGAAGAATGCACTTGTTGATGATATATGAGAGCCGCTTTTTGTTCACTGAAAGTAGTCAGAGTTGATATTTGCTCGCTTTCTGTCCATCTATATATAGCACATATGCTGACCCACCTATGCCACTGGGCGTGAGCCAATCGGCGTAGTATGTCTCCAAAGTTCCGAAGTACGACCTTGTAAGACCTAGCTCTGTAGTTATTCGGGGGAGGGGGTCAAGTTGGGCAAGACACAAGTACTCTGATTGAAGAGACGATTGAAGGAGAGAAGGAAAAGAAAAAGTGACAGTTCGAGAACCAGACGAGCTTGGAATGTGGAGAGAGCTAAACCAGGCAAGGCAGGTGGATGCGTTCCGAGGTTGGCCTTATCGCTGGCACATCAGTTCTTATCTCCAGGGCCCAGGTACGTCATGATACTCAGTTGGTGTGTGTTTTTCTTTTTGTATAGTTCTGATACTTGGTGATCATCGTTCAGTCTACTACATGTATCCATACAAGATATCTGGCTGTCCCATTTCGCCGTTCGCCCCTGATCAACGCAGGAAAAACAAAGTCCAGTATCAACACCAAAAAAATATAGCCGGTCTTGCATAAATCATAAACAAAGCGCCGTTAAATGAAAAGAAAGTAATTCCAAATATAACCCCAGAAGAAGAAGAGCCAGACTCGGATTCTGACTCACATCTAAAGGACAGATAGCATCGCTGGAAAACATGTGCCCGACACCAATCCCAATATGAACAATAGCGTAAATTCATGATTCGGACCTCATAATAGCTTTCCTTTTTAATAGAACCAAGAAGAGGCGGTATTACTGGAAATAGTCTTCGAGTCGCACCCATTCGCGAGGCACGTCCATACTGCGGTTGACACGTCCACCCGGCGTGAGGGGTACATCGACGCGGCCACGACCGCGTTCATCGTCTTCGTTTTCTTCGTAGAACGATAAACGGGAGAAATAATCCTCAAGAACGGCCTCTCGGTCGTTTCCGACGATGGTATCGTATTCTGGAGGAGGGGTGACAAGCGGCGGCGCCGGAGGGACGTCCTCGAAAGCAGGGGGCGCATATGATGGCGCACGGAGCAGATGCATTGGGCGAGGCGGAATAGGTGTATTGCAGTCGTTTGGTGGCGATGCGAGGTGTGCTTGTGGAGGCCGGGCGAGGCCGCCGGAGTCGTTGGTGAAACTGCGAGAGAAGCTGTGGCCCGTTGAGCCTCGGCGGGCGATGATGCCTAGTGCGGGGCCGCTATCTTCACGATCCGATGTGGTTGGGGCAATGGCTTGCTCTCGGGGTGCAAGGGGTGCGCCGGGGCATCCGCATGCAAATTCTTGGGCTTGCGGGACGGGTTCTTCAGCTGGGGTTGTGTAGGCTGGTAGGTAGATGTTGGCCTGGGTGGCCTTGCAGGAGAGGATGTGGAATGGCGAGTCTATGGAGATTTCGAAGTGTCTTCGCTTTGTGGGGTCCCTTTCGTCGACTTTCGATAGACGGAGGACAATCTGCATAAATCGGTTAGTATCATTGTGACGCGAAGAAAGAGGAAAGACGGTTTGACATACTTTGATCCAGTGGTTGATCTGAATGTTCTCGTATGTGGTATCGAAATGCAGCCGTTGACCCTCGTCGCGTCCCTTCATTTCGTGGCAACTTGGCAGCTGCACATTGAATTCCATCTCAGTTGGACCGACACCGGAATCATTAGATAGATTGCCTAGAAGATTTGTCCGACTCCGATCCACAATCTCCTGGCCTCTTGCGGCGGCAGCGCGGTGGTCCCAATCGATGCCACCGCCTGCGGTGACACGCATGGAGCTGCCGGGATAAGTGCTCACACTGGCCGAGTCTGCTCGTTTTTCGAAAAGCAAAACTTTCTTCGCTGGTTGCAACCGGTGCACGCTCTTGTCTGCGGTCCAGTGTTGGATATTCTCCGTCACGAAGACTTTGATTCGGTGACACTCTACTTTCGCTAGTGGGGTCAACTTGAACGCAATCGGGATCTGCGAGCCCAGCGGGAATGACTTCCCCGAGATGACGATGTCGTAGTGGAGCTGGTCTTCCCAGTTCCGTGAAATTGCAATCGGCTCGACCTGCTCCAATGAACCCTCGGCAGGGTACGAATCACGGGGACTTCCATGCCGCCGAGAAGATTGGGTCGGAATGCGCCTGATCGTTCCACCATTGCCTCCAGGTCGTATTTCACATAGCCCAGATCCGTTTTGATTGTCTCCGGTAATGATCCATCGATTGGGAACTCGAAGCTGTATAAATAATCGCCTACGGGAAACATGCGGTAATTTCGCTGTGGCTGGGGTTGGGAAATCGGGGGTTCGTTCTTGCTGAAGCTGCGTGAATGCCCACGGTTGGCTTGTAGAGAAAGACGTTTGACTTCTCGAGGGGTTGGTAGGGCGAGTGTGGCGGTAGAATTGCGATTGGAAAATAGTTCTCGAGTTGTCATCGTCACCCCCTCCTTGCCCGGTACGGATGATATCGGTTTGGCATGCTGATAGTAATGCGCACCATAGTCATTCTGCATGAGGGCGGTGTCACCATGGTTGAAATACACCACACCATGCGTGAAGAGATCCTTCTTGTCATGGAAGTGGATCTTCTTAGGCGGAATACCTGAACAATGTCAGCTGTTGAAGTATAATTTTATGATGTGGATTCATACCATCTGGCCAATCCGTCTGAGCATGGCCGCGAAAGCAGACCGAGATCTTCTTGATCTTAACACATTTGGTAACCTTCAAATGCATCTGTCCCCGTAGGATTGCAGACTTTTTACTGCTTGGGTCTTGTTGATCATAACCCTGCAAGTAAAGAACGGGCTCCGTGAGGGCAATACCAACGGAAATGCCACTCCCGGTGGCTACAATCTTCTCATTTCGCAAGGGAGTAAATGGAAGGGTAGAATCGGTAGTCACAGTGTGGTGTTCATGTACTGGGCGAGGCAGCACCTCGGTAGATGACGAATCCGATCGCATCTCGTCCTCCAAGTCGACCGATATCGGCGACAATATAATCTCCGAAACTGGTCGTACACCACGGGTAGGACGTTGCGAAGACGCTTGAATTCCAGACGACCGCAAGCGAAGGAATCGCTTTGCGTTTTCACGTGGACCCGCCAGCTTTTTGAGGATTGAGTCCCGATGACTCCGTTTAGGGATCTGATTTTCGATACACACCGTATGGCGACGAGCCGACCGTGCGATGAGATTGGAAATTGATACTCCTAGCGACGGGGGTCCTGTGAACTCCGAGTGCGGGGTGAGGTTGCTGGAGGCCGACCGCGAAGTCAAATGCGCTGGTAGAGGGAGGACATTAGCACCCATCATCGTGATATTATTCGAGCATCCCGGAGAGGTTCCTCGAAAAACTGTATGCTGTATATCGTATATCCCTTGAATATGCTCCAAATTGGGTAAAGACAAGAATGGTCCGAGAAAGGGAATACAAGCTGCAGGGAATGTGTAGGACAGACTCTCAACATACCTTCGATCTTTAATCTTGTGCGATGTTTTTTATTTATTTCTCCCTTGAATCCCTTTACGCAAGGAGACTGTAGGAAGATGGAATTCTCGGGGGCGCTGACTTCATAAGTCCTCCACTCTGATCATCGTGCAGATCTTGATTTCAACGTGTAGGATTGGCTGTTAGGGTTGGAGAATTGTGGCTCCCTTTTTCCTTTTCTTTTTTTTCCCTTCTTTATGATCTGGCTCCAGGCATAATGTGGTAATGTGGCGTAGGTGATTAACAGGATTAAAAAAGATGAATATAGTTAGGAGGCGAACTACTTAAAAAACTAAAAGACAACCTGATCCATGGAAGAAAGAAAACCCCAAGAATCATAAATCCGAACTCGATGACAACACCATTGGAAAAGTCCAGAGAGGGTCTCATATCCGGCGATCCGGGCCATACGTCTCTAACCATCTCTACGGTCTACGGGTTTGATTCGGTATTTCTCCCCATATTTGTGGAGAAACATTCCACCAGGGTCTAGAGTTATAAAACTCTCGGATCTCATGGCCTATACAAACGACTTCATGCCTTATGGCATAGGGCAGTGCTAACGCCCAGTTCTTGAATTCATCTTGGCCTCTACGAAACTAAGACTACTAGGTAGGCTTAGATGCGGGGGATTTAATTTGCGCTGCATGGCCTCATTTAATATATTTGGGCGCCTTTATACATGGGTTTTGGAACCGTACAAAATGCGATATCTAGACCTTGCATTCCTTACATTCCATCTTTCTCGTATCTCGGTCTTCTTATAGGGCTACAATAGCTTCGTTGTAGGGCCTGGTTTTCCAGGTTCACTCGGGTTCACTCGGCTTAGGTGGAATATGAATGGTCGGAAGACAGACCCCGACAAAGATGGTGATCAGTTCTAGTTCGTCACCATCACCTATGTGCTGTACATATTGTAGGCATATCAAACTATTATACTAAATAACTATTCAATACTATTGGCATGATGACAATTCCATCTCCCTATGACAATGACCTCACCAAGCCACTTTATGCCTAGACTCTCCACGTAAAGTGTTGTACATTGTATAGGGCAGATCTATTTCGGGAAGCAAATCCTAGTGCTTTCATTCTGGGATGATCGCCCTCTGGACTTTCCTGCCCTGATTTGCTTCTCCGTACGCCGTGCCGATCTCAACCTACGTCACCAGACTTATAAACTACACCTGGACACCTGAACATACCTAGGTACCTACATAGGTATATTATACCTAGATACACTAGTATACTTAGTAACCTCGGGAGCATCTTATTATCTGTACACTAAATATCTATCCATGGATAGAAATAAAATGAAGGTCAAGATAGAAACATCCGGTTCAAATGTGACGCTATGACCCTGTCGCACAATGAGCTGTGTTACCACTGGCTTCATGCTTTTCGGTGGAAGCTGTCTTGAGCTGATCTGGATTATGTGGTTTCACTGTCTTCTTTGGACGGATTACTTCATTTATTTATTCAAAGAAAATTCTAGTGAACCATACTTCTTGATCAGATTGGCTAGTAAATGCTCCAGGGCTGTATTCATCATTGATGTTCCACAGCAGTCAGGAAGAGCCTTGAACCTGACAAAAGATTCATGCAGTTCGCAATAATATATGCTTCCAGTCGCAGAATCAGGACATGTGCCCACTAGAGCTATGCCTTAGTACCACTGACAAATGAGAACGCATGGAAACCACAGGATACCTTTTCCCCGGACTTCACCCCTCACCTTATCTAGACTATATAGACCCCACTAGTCCCTTCATTTTCATCAGTTGAACCAATTATCATCCAACTCATTAACATTCATCAGGCTGTCTCCCTCCAGCTGATTGAAGTCCCCACCATTCTCTCCAAAATTATCAGTGTCCATGAACAAATCGTCGAAGTTTGATTCAGCCGGCCCCATGAAATCCTCCCCAGAGTTACCTTGTAGGAAATTGCTGTCATCCCCCTCTGTCTTCTGTAACTCCATGTCAAATGCACCACCACCAGCAGGGGCATCGGAAGTATTCCCCAGGGGCTGAGTTGCGTTTAACCTGTCCACACCACCAGTAGTGCCGGAGGTCGTGAAATTCGACCCGGATAGGAAAGCTTGATTCCCCATGTCATCATCGTTGAAGTCCAAGCTAAGACCAAAGTCGTTTGTGCCCCCAGTGTCATTGAGGACTGAATCAAAAGTGAGGTCTTCATTGGGTCCGGGGAATGATTGATCGGGAGCAGCATTATTGTCGCTTTCTTTTTTGACAATTACATCATCGCCCGATTGGGTGTCAGGCTTGATTTCTGCCGGAGCTGATTGGTTCGCAGAGAGAGCTTCTTCTGATTTAGGCATAGGTTCAAGCTCTGTATCCATTTCAACTTTCTCACTCGGGGGAGGTTGAATGACAGATTCAACTTGGTTCACATCGCTCATTGCCGCATCTTCAATGGGCTGGGGAGCGGCACTGGCTTTGAGAGCCTCATAATCCCTTTCCAAAAAGGCTTTGGCGATGAACTGCACAGCGTCAGAGAAGGAAAAACAAAAACAAAAAAAGTTGAAACAAAGATGCTAATCTATTTGAGATAGTTGATTTACTCACAATTTGCTCTGATAGGTTATCCAAAGCATTTTGGAAACTATCATGATACAATGGGATGGATCGTTGCAGGTGAGTTCTTGATGGCACGGAGCCAGACTTGCGAAACAAACGGCCGGTATCAATAAGCTAGCAGATGTCAGGTTATATGCCAAGAGTTGATGTTCCAGAGCCAGCGCTTACCGTCCGCTCTATTATGCTTGAGAGCTCCGTGAGTGAGTCTGGGTTTGAATAACTAGTTGAGTAGCTGGCCATGATGGAAATAAGGGTATGGGTGACAGCTGAAAATGGGTTCTAATTCTCCTTGAAGATATAACAAGTTGGGAAGAATGAGAAAGGTAAGAATTTGGGGATGTTGTACGGAAGAGATGAAGGCGGCTAAACCCTTTGGGGTAAAGTGTCCTCCCCCCACCCCTAGCGGTTAAGTTCCTCCCTTTACTTTGCTGTTCTCCAGTTCTTTTTTTCTTTCTGTATCCTCACTTCTTCTCTTTTTTCCCTTTTTCCTTTTTCTCTTTTCTTTCCTGTTTGGATTTCATCCCCGTAAAGGGTCTTGCATGCTTTGGTTTTCTTTGAGTGTTCTCAGCTTTTTGTTGGGCTTCCTATCTCCCAACGCGCTTTGTATTTCCATCTCCGACCGCAGCTTTATCAGGCCACAGAAACATCTCCCTTATTCTATCGGAGCTTGATCGAAAAAAAAAGAAACCAAAACCAAAGCCACCCAGGTTCCACTTCGGTGTCTCTTTTACCAGCACTGTTTATACCCGGTGCTCCTTGTTTCCCAGCTTAGGGTCTTTCTTATTGGACTTCATCCTAGTCCCCGCGGCCTCCTATACCACATATATTTTCCCGGTCTTATTTGCGATTGTGGCTTTCAGTGACGCTCTGCATTGTCTCAAATTCTGAATTTGACATATCACCTAACACTGGGCTCTCCCAGTCTGACATTTAACCCCGTCCGATTTCCGCACCACTCGCTTCCTCTGATCGCCTTTGGGATATATTTGTATCTTTTCAAAAGCAATCATAATGGCTGAAAGCGCTCAGGCCTCGACTCCCTCCTCTCCCCCCGGCACCCCAGCCCGCTGTCGGTCAAACCCAACAGTACGATGCTCCTCAGGGCAATGGCCAGGCCAACCAGTCCCACATGCCCCCGCCTCCACGCCCTCCTGTGATAATCCCCCAGAATACCAATCCGATTCCCACCGCCATAACCTCTCCCATGTCCGGAGTTGCTATGATGTCCCCCACAAGCGCGGGTGGATATGTCCGCCGAGCGGCTCCTGAACCGAACAAGAGAGCCCTATATGTGGGTGGGCTTGACCCGAGGGTCACTGAGGACATCCTCAAGCAGATCTTTGAGACCACTGGCCACGTGGTCAGCGTGAAGATCATTCCCGACAAGAATGTGAGTTCTCCTGACAGGTACCCCCTGCATATCAGCTCCCCCCTGAGTTACTGGTAATGGCCTTTGGGACTATCATCTGCGGTATCACTGCTAGCCCTTGGCAAAATACTGGTAGCTGACCATTTTACTTACTCCAGGGGCAGTTCACCACCAAGGGCCACAATTACGGTTTCGTTGAGTTCGATGACCCAGGTGCGGCCGAGAGGGCTATGCAAACCCTGAATGGTCGCCGGATCCACCAATCGGTAGGTTTCCTTTTGTTCGTGGTACCTCATGGCTGTGTCTAATTGCCCCAGGAAATCCGTGTCAACTGGGCATACCAGTCCAACAGCACCAGCAAGGAGGATACTTCTAACCACTTCCATATTTTCGTCGGCGATTTGAGTAATGAAGTCAACGACGAAGTCCTGACTCAAGCATTCTCTGCTTTCGGTTCGGTATCCGAGGCACGTGTGATGTGGGACATGAAGACTGGTCGCTCCCGTGGATACGGCTTCGTTGCTTTCCGCGATCGCGCCGAGGCAGACAAGGCCCTCAACTCGATGGATGGTGAATGGCTCGGTTCTCGTGCTATCCGCTGCAACTGGGCCAACCAGAAGGGTCAACCTTCAATCTCCCAGCAGCAGGCTCTGGTTGCTATGGGTATGACGCCTACTACTCCTTTCGGACACCACCACTTCCCCACCCACGGCATTCAGAGCTATGATATGGTTGCCCAACAGACTCCCCAGTGGCAGACTACTTGCTACGTGGGCAATCTCACCCCCTATACCACCCAGAATGACTTGGTCCCCCTGTTCCAGAACTTCGGCTATGTCCTTGAAACTCGCCTCCAGGCCGATCGTGGCTTCGCATTCGTGAAGATGGATTCGCATGAAAATGCGGCCTCTGCGATCTGCCAACTGAATGGATACAACGTCAACGGCCGTCCTCTGAAGTGCAGCGTGAGTTATTGCTACATATAGTTATGGGATTACGGGCTTATATTTACTGACTGTCGCAGTGGGGTAAGGATCGCCCTCCTACCGGCCAATTTGACAACTCTCTCCCCAGCAGGGCAACACCGCTCCCTTCAACGGCAGCCCTGCTGGTTTCTTCCCCAATACGGTGGTCCCGCAAACCCCATGAATCAAGGTGGGCTTAGTATTTATCCTAGCTCTCAGCCCTCGCTTACTGGTAGAATAGGTCCTGCCCCTGCTGGTCGAGGCTGGGATCAACCCAACAATTTCAATGGACCTGCTATGGCTGGTCAGGGCTACGCCCAGGCAGGTAATGCCGGGGGCTACGGTCGTGGCCAGCCCATGTCCCCGTCCGGCAACTGGGACCAGTCCAACAACTTCAACGGAGGCTACCAGGCGTAGCTCGGTTTTTGACAGTCTCCAGTCGGTCTGCTCACATACGACTATTCCGGCATTTGCTCACAGAACTAAGTTTATTTAACGTCCCTTCTGTGTTTCTTTCCATAGCACCCTTCTACAATTCCCCATCCCCGTTGATATTTTCTTTTACTTAAATTGAGTGGATTTTCAAGCGAGCAAGTTGCTTTTGTCTGAAACGGAATTTGTGTGTTGCGCACCCCATACCCCAAGTCCACGTTGGTTCGGTTTTTCCTTTTGCTTCTCTCTTTCTCTCTCTCTCTCTCTCTTTTTTTCTTTTTCTTTTTTTCTCTTAAGCGTGCCTTGCAAGTGTTCCTTGGACTTTTGGCTCTGTCACGCCCGCAAATAAAAGCGACTTCCCTACTCTTCACCTGCGTATTTGGACTGTTGCCATCTTGTTCATTTCTTTTCTCTAGCTGTTTTACCATTCGAGTACATGTGTTGTATCAAATTTGCTTCCGTCTTTTCTTAGGCTTGCTTTCTTTGTTTGATACTCATTTTCACTCAAAAGATGCTTTTCATGGGTTGCCATGGATTTCTCGGCTGACACATTGGTCTGGGCATTTCTCCCACGAGTATCCGTATATGCTGTGATGAATTTCCTTGGAGCACACGACACCATTGATCTTGTTTTCTAAGTATCTCTGCCTTGCTGGCGTTCTAGCCCAGATACCAATTTGCCTTTTCTCTTTCTTTTCACTGTATTATGCCTTCCTATTTCTTTAAACTCGTTGCCTATAGCATTTTCTTTGTTTATTTTTTTTTTTAATATATACATACCATGTATGATGTACGGACCAGACGGCAGATTGCATGATATTCTCTGTCCATAGGTTCGCAGGTGAAACTGAACATGCTGTGTCATGCTCTGCGGGGCATTTGAAGTTGAACCTCCAAGCTGGTTTCGTGCCAGTTACCTAGGTATTATTCACTGTAGCGTTAATTGATTGGTAAACTACAGCCCTTTCCTCGCTGCATACATATATATGTATGCAGTGTGACAGCTATACGGCATGTTCCAGATGGGCTCGTCAATGTACGTCTTCCCATCTTTTCTTTTTCTTTGTATCTCTGTAAGCAGGTTGAAAGCCAGGGGGCTGGGGGTCATCTACTGATTATGCAGCTGTATATGGCCCGGGGGATATATATTGATATATGTAACTTATTTATTGGAATTTCATTTTTGTATTCTGCTTTATAACAGGGGATATGAGATACAGGATATATGTATCGTAGTAGAAGATGTGATCTCTAATATCGTTTCAAACCAAATGGATCAGCTGATTGAAGTCCTACGGTCTCAGTTATTTTGATTAAGCCTAACTTTCTATATTAGGTGGCTTCTTGTTAGTGTATTTATTAAAGAAGCCACAAAGTGTGCTTTCCAAAGTTACATATAATAAAACCTTAGAGCCTAGCCTTTCTCTAAGAGGCGAAGGTACGAACTAGTTATGTACTTTGGTGACTGAGAGAAAGTGCACCTCAAATTGATATGAGATATTATATAACTCCATTTCCCCGTGGACCCGTGGACGTATCATACCTGCTGTTTCTGTGCTTTTATGCACTGGAGATATATCTAAGACTATTTAAGCGCGTTGCTCACATCGCTGATATATAGTTCAGAATTAACTTGCACCGTTGGTGCCTGATATTGCAGGCTACAACGCCACTCCTTTACGGTCCTGTGCAGGTAACATATCTCTCTGCAAAGCAAAAGCACCAAGGGAAACAACGGAAACGGAACCCGAATTTCATCAATGCAAGAAGATTGTCCGAGCTGACGTTTCCACCTCCTGGTTCCACTTGCACCAATGGGTAACGAGAGAACCGCGGACTTGGCGGTCCACGAACTATCTCCTCGCACGCGATCAGGCAGCGCAAGTAGCGGCCATAAACGAATACTTTCGGGTTCCCTTCTTTCGAGACTTTCCTTCCTTCGCGTGAACCGGGCAGCACAGGACCCCTTGGACAGACAACACCCAGGCATGGACCACGATGGCGACGAAGACCTCAACTCCGGTATGCCGCAGAGCACAGGCAAGGGAGGAACTACCAGCAGCCGGGCAATGTCTGCCGCTCTCGCACAACACCGAACGCGTCGCCGACGAGGCTCCCTCCGTAAAACTGCCTTGCTAGGCACTAGGCTCGAATCGCGCGACAAAAGAGCCACCGCAAAAGCCGCCGAAGCTCTGGAAGCCCTCCGCGCAGAACCCAGCCGACTCCCCGCCGCCAACCTACAAGCGTCTATACAACCAAAAGATCAAACCCCTTCTGATAATGGACCTACACGATACTCGCCGCGCGCGAGTGAGGCCTTCGACGACCGCGACGATACCCAGCAGCCGGCCTGGTTCCGGACGGCAAATCCCCAGAAACCCGTCCGACCCTCAATAAGTCGCCGACGCCAGGGCCTCGCACAGCACAATCTCCAAGAACAAGCCACCGACGACGAGGATCTAATCTCCTTCCTCGCCTCCACTCGAATTCAAACCCCACGGCGGCCGGCACGGGCACCAGCCCCAAAATCGGCTCTGCAGCTGGTTTGCACATATCCCCACCATCCTCCAACCCAGGTTCATTCTATTCGCTCCAGCCTCAGCCCGAACCGGCATACCTACCCGTCCACCGACACAAATCCTCGCCCCTGGTCACACACCCGGTTGAGATGAAGAGCAGTCCCGATGCGGACGTGGACTACTCCGAGACCGAGTGGTGGGGCTGGATTATACTGGTTGTGACGTGGCTGGTCTTTGTTGTGGGCATTGGGAGCTGCTTCGAGGTTTGGAGCTGGGCTTGGGATGTTGGGGAGACGCCCTATGCGCCGCCTGAGTTAGAGGATGATCCTACTTTGCCGATTGTCGGGTATTATCCTGCACTTATCATCCTCACGGCTGTCATGTCTTGGGTTTGGGTTGTTGTCGCATGGGTTGGTATGAAGTACTTCAAGCATGCTAATATATCCGGGGAAGATATTTGATCTTTTTTTTTCTTCGTTCTAGCGCATACTGTATTATAATACCCTTCTTTTTGTGAGCGTGACATGGCATTTTTGGCATTTTTCCAATGATTCCAGGCTTTTTCGTCGTAGGCTGAATATATTGACAACATTAGATGGTCAATACATGTAGGCTGCGCAAATGTTACAGCAATATTGCTGCTACTGTGACCTCAGTTTCTGAACATGAGTAGCGAAGAGGTCTAAACATCACTAGCATTATTCCTGGCAAAAGATCTTCTTGCCGTGGGATCTTCTTGCCGTGGGATCTTCTTGCCGTGGCATCTTCTTGTCGTGGCATCTGTATGAACATCTAGTCTATAAACTATGGACATACGAGGGATCTTTACTAATCACAAATTTGCATCCCCCAACTTCCTCAAGCGCAACATACTATCCTGCAAAGAAGTCGCCAGCAATGTGCCATCAGGGCTCCAAAGATGGCTCTCATGCGTCCCCCTGTTCTCCGTAGCCCGAGGCGTCCACCCCTCCTGCACGAACCACTTCATAGGCAACTCATCCAGACCGACATCGCTATCACCAATGCTGTCCCAATCAACCATCCGCAGGGCCTCCCCATGCTGATGCACAATAACCGTAAGCGTAAGACTCGCCATCTCAGTCCAGTTCTTGATCCCCAGCGCGCGTGGAATCAAAAGAAGCGAGTTCTTATCACTGGAATACATATGCGCACACGCATATAGATTATCATATTCCCCATTTTCTTCCCTCTCTCGGATCTGTGCCAGACTCGCAGCAGGATCCTCGTCCGGTGATCCTTTGAGCCGGTACTGCGTTAGCTGGCGATATCGCTCAGGATGTTGCTTGACATCCGCGGCGCGGTTATAGTCTTTCATATCGGTCTTGCGCACGTCCAGACCGGGAAACTCGGACTCGGAGATGTTTCCCTGTCGCACAGCCTCGATCCACCATTCTGCGTCCACGCTGGGACTGGGGTCTTGGTCTTCTGGCCGTTTTGCCGAGAGAATTGAGTCGAAGCGCGCCTGTGCTGATGCCGGCTGGTGCTGAAAGAGACGCTGTTTCTCGTCACGCTTGAAGGAGCATATGCACGAGAAGCAGATTCTGCCCGCTTGCCGTGCGTCGACGGCTCGTGTGCTGTACATGAATCCATCGCGGATATGTCGCACTGTGTACACGTATGGCGTGTCGAGCCGTCCCCCCAGGATGAATGTGCCCGTCATATCCTGCCGTTATGTCAGTTTGAGTCTACTTGGGTGCCGTTGGTGTAAAAAATCTTACGTGAATTACTAGCCCGGACCGACGGTCTTGGACGCTGCATAGGCTGATTGGGCGTAAACATGTCCGCCGAACGAGCGCGTTCCTTGACCGGGGTTGTAAGGTGTTGCTAGAGAGCGGAACCGCTCAATCTTTTCTGGTTTGGCGGAGTCGGGGTAGGAGATAAAGGCATCTTCGAGTCGTTCCAGCGACATCAACTCAACAAAGGAATGCGGGGACGTCAGCTCGTCATTGTCCGGGGCCCCGCGTTGCGGAGACATAGCGCAAAAGAGGCGAGAGGCGAGAGGCGTTTTGACCTGGGCTCTTTTTCCTCCCGAGAGGTACAAGCTGTGCAAAGCAGTTTTTTGTGTCGACAAAGGTTGATTCTTTACGGGGCGATGGTACCTGTCCAATCAACAATACCGGTCCCTGCATCCGATGGTGATCCTCCCTGCGATTGTGGTAGGTGAAGATGGGGTTAATGAGCTGGGCCTCACACAGTCTTCCGCTATATAACGGAAACCCTGTAGAATTGTACAGGGGGGAGTAGAGGTGATAAATTTGATATTTGCTAATGGATGTATGGGATTGGCACGTACCCCGGACTAAGAGACGGGACCGGCCGGTGCCTCGGCTCATTTGACTCATGCTCTACCTAGGCAAGACGTAGAGGTGAATGCTTTGGCTGTACCCTGTAGATATTTTAAACAAATTAATTGTACCCCTGTATGGATCTATATACATATATATAGAACGCTTAATCCAAATTTAGTGTTTTGGATTGATTAGGCGCAGGAAATGCACTTCGGTTGAAGCACTTCACTCCCTAGGTTTACATAAATCGAACAATGGTGGCGTTTAGAGGGCGCAGCATATCGATATATATAAACCCAAATAGGGAGATATATGTTTAGCTTTGCTATCGGATTCATGGTTTGTTTGCCATGCTCGCCATTGCCACCTTTTATGGAGCACCGAAGAGTGGAGGGAACAGGAAATGAAGTAAACAGCCACAAAATAGACTTGTAGATCAAACTGGTATTTTGTACAATATGCGCCGATTGTGCTGATAGGTCAAGTGGCAGTTCCCAATGCCCGTGCCATAATAATACAAAGAACAAAAAGAAAAGTGCTGAAATCCATGTCACGCTCCTAAATCTGATATCAACAATCAATCAAACTTCCGTCAAAAAAATTGCGTCAATTAGATCTGGTCGGTGATGGTGGAAACATTGTTCCACTCGACCTTGCCCTCGATATCCTTAATCTCCTCGAGCTTGTCGCCGAGTTTGACCACGGAGAAGTTGATCATACGCGGGTCGAGACCGAGAGTGCGGCGGATAGATGATTGAACAGAGCCGGAGGAGTCAAAGCGCATGATGAAGTGGTGACCTTCGGTGTATCGGGCCTGGTGTTTCGTGGTGACCCTGGGCAGACGGAAGGCGCCCCAGTTGGTGTAGCCGCGGACGACGCCGCCGGAGCGGATGACTTGGGTGCCAGCATTACGGGCGATTCTGCAAATTATGTATATTAGTATCTGATAGGCTTGGATGATGGAGATTGCGACGACGGTGTTGATTCAGACGTACTCTCGCACCTCGTTGAGGCTGCCCGGGCGGACCTGTTAGCAGAGCGGTTAGCAAATCCAGACATGTCTTTCAGGGTCAGTGTAACAGTTTCAATCGAACCAGAACATACAATGGCAATCAACTCGTACAACATGGCATCGAGGGGTGGCGCGAACTAGAGACAAAAATGAGGCAATGACCATTTGAAGCCAGCAAAATCCGACGAGGTTAGCGCGTTGCTTATCGTAAGTCTTGGCATTTCGTTATCGGGGAAATGCCGTCAACGAAACTCCGCCGGAGAAGCGCATCACCTTCTTTCCCTTCTACTTAAACTCTCCCCTCTTCTCATTTCACCTTCCACGCTTCCAATTCCTTTCCTCTATACCTCAAAATGTCCTCCGTCGCTCGTGCCATCCGCCCCTTCGCTTCCCGGGTCCTTTCCCAGAAGCCTCTTGCCTCTGCCTGCCAGGTTTCGCCTGCTTTCCGTTTTCCGCGGGGAACCAGGAGCTTCTCCCAGAGCCCTCTCTGTGAGTACCATGAACCCCCCAATGCTGTCAAATGCTGTCCAGGACGATGTGCAAGACATTTGGACTGGCAATGAAGCATCGCAATACCTCAAATATGCCCTCATAAGCTCTATGATGTCACATTTTACTAACGGCGCAATTATAGCCCAGCTGAAGAAGTACACCGAGTCGCACGAATGGATTGAGCTGGCCGACGGCGGCAAGACTGGTTAGTCCACTACTACCCGATCAATTGGTCCCATACACCTGCCTTCGACCCATTGAACCGACTGCCAGGTGTATATGGTCTTGCAGTATACATGATATGGAGCAGCGAAGTAACTAACGCACTCTCTACAGCCAAGATCGGTATCACTGAATACGCCGCCCACTCCTTGGGTGACGTAGTCTTCGTAGAGCTTCCCGAGGTCGACCTCGAGATAGTCGCCGGCGAACCCGTCGGCGCTGTCGAGTCGGTCAAGTCTGCCTCCGATGTCCTCTCCCCTGTCGCCGGCAAGGTTATCAAGGGTAACAGCATCCTTGAGGATAAGGCTAAGACCATCAACGAGAGCCCCGAGGGTGAGGGCTGGATCGCTGAGATTGAGGTCGCTGATGTTGCTGAGCTTGATGCGTTGCTCGATGAGGCTGCCTACAAAGAGACCATCGATGCTTAGATCTGCAGAGCGTAAAGACTATTGTGATTCGTGGTTTGTGAATGCCTGCCTATGCTGGATGTGGAGAATTCCTTTTTCTTTTAAAGTGTGATGTTATATTGTCATGTATGGCCAATGGTGACCGATTTCCTTCAACGAAAGCGTTTAGATTTGTCGATCCGTAAACGGATTGATGTACTGTTCAACAAGAGTTCTGTATATGTGAATGGATTGTTCTTTCATTTTCTTGTAGAGAAATCATGGCCCATATATCTAGGCGGATATGTATTCACAGCTAGATCACGCAAGTCTCAACAGCGTAATACAGCAGGTCTGTGTACAGGAGGATGATATCGTTACAACAGAAGCTATACAGGAGGTATGGATTCACGACAGATCGGACACTGGAGACGAAGTCTCATCCAGCTTTCCAGACACGCGGTGTGGAAAATATGACGACAAGGAGTGACCATGTACAACCGTCGACTCAAGATGCTTGAGGCCCCATCGGTGACGCTACTTCCACCCGAGGCAGAAGAAGACGGGGGAAGGACAGGCACTTCTATATCCTGCATGCAAATAGCACAGTCGAATATGGCCTTCTTGCGGTCTTTCCGCTGCTTGTCGTCATCTTTGGAGTCACTGACCAGATCGCGCTCATCGCCCCGGAGAGATGCAATTGACAAAACGCCACCACTAGCTTCGAGGTCCTCGTCCGCTCCGGATAAATCGCGCAACATGGGATGATAATCGTATGCGTGCGGCGCCCAGCCACGAGGCACAAAGAAGCGTGGTCCGAGAACGTCCTGGCTGACCAGGATCCAAGCTTGGATCCACACCCATCCAGTCATGATGAATGCGCTTGTGTAGTCAGGGCGGATAAACAACACGTTTCCCCGTGCTGTGAGGAAGTATAAGAATGGGAAGAGCCGGAGAACACTTTGGCCGGCAACAAAGTCCCATCGAAGCGCCTTGCGGCAATTTCGCATCACATTGCGGTAGATTTGTGGAACCCAGAA